TTTCTCTGGGTATATTAGCAATTAAGCTCTTTAAATAAACATACATTTCTATAACTTTAGTGTTTACGGCGTTCCTTTGTGGAGACCGTGAAGATAAAACTATTGGAAATATTACAAGTGACAAGTTCCAGGGCTCCATACTATTTACGCCCCTCAAATTTGAATTAGGGAACCCTGGAAGGGACCCCTTGTATCGCACGACCCGGCCTCTGAGCACCTTCAAGAACAACGTGATTCGAGAGTAAGGCGCAGCTGAACGATAAGGATTTCCCCAGAGTCTGACCCTTATTCTTTAAAGTGCACCTTGGTCTTGAAGGCTCACGTCTTGCCCAGTCCGTAGAGGCATTGCTAAAGCCGTCTGTCATTACAAAGTGGTGACGTTGCAAGCAAATGGCATCTCTCATGTCGGTGCCAAACAGACACTGTACGAAATTAACCTCCGCTCAGGCTGGCTTTCTGTATGACGATGCTCAGTCAGTCTATGCTGGAATCTAATGATATTTACTCAAGCTATTACGGTACAGAGGAAAACAGTTTTGTAAGAAAGCGGTACGACGTCAATCCCTGACGTACGACGTCAATCCCTGACGTACGACGCCAGATATGAGTAGACTACAACGCTTAAACTACGCCGAGTTAACCACAACAGCAAGACAAAGCTGCCACCCCTACAGTCCCACGCTAGCCCCACACCCCCACAGTCCCACGCTAGCCCCACTCCCCACAGTCCCACGCTAGCCCCACACACCCCACAGTCCCACGCTAGCCCCACACCCGACAGTCCCACGCTAGCCCCACTCCCCACAGTCCCACGCTAAACATGTTTACAGTAGACTCCCGTTAGTGCGCCGCTGAGCAGGAGCATAGCGACCTCCTGCAACAACACTCTCACTCAGCCTGAGTGAACAAGACAATAGATGCCGTAACTCCTGGCTTGTACCGTCTCACTAGAGGGGCCAGCAATGGTCGACTTTGGTCACGTGTAATACATTATTTCATTCATGATCATCCTTGGTACAAAGACTAGTAGAGTTACTGCTGGAAGGACCACCACGCCAGAGAGAACGTGCGCAGGGGGGACATATTACACACATTTAGGCAGTCTGGTTACCCAGTAAATCCGGGTCGACCTATTGGGTGTTCACTATAGGTCATTTGGTCGCCCCGGAAGGGGGGGGTGAATTGCAGGATCCCAGGGTATTGGGTATGGAGGGGGGAGGGGAGGAAGACACATCAGGGTAGTTGGTATTCAACAATGACATCTCCCCCTCAAAAAAATTATTCTGCAGCCCAGGAGCGAATAAATCAATCAAAATGTCTTAGGAAAAAATTAACAAACAGGGTGGTTATTAAAGTGCCCAGACAGACAGACACACACACTGTATAAAACACGCCAAACACAATGCCAAACACAATGTCCAGAAAGGCCTAGCCTACTAAACGTATAACTCTTCTCCTAAGCCCGTTTACAGGAATTTAACAGCGTGTTAAATTAGAAGAGGCTTTGCGAACCAAACCACCAGGATTTCGTCGCTGTGGCCAATAGCGTTAAAATCGTGGGGGATTGAGAGGACAGGAATAGCCATTAGAAGAGTAGGGACGGGGGGATGGGGGGGCGCCTCTCACGCCCGCACGCTATCCTCTACCGCCGCTTATTTGCACCCGCGGTCACACTTTTTTTTGCCTCTGCAAAATAACTCATCACTTGACCTGCCCAAGGTTGTATCCCTTCTGGTGTGGGAAACTGTTACGTCCAGTATCCCACCCCCACCCCACACCCTCGGCACCCCCCCCCCCCAACACTGCCACCCTCGGCACCCCCCCCCCCCCCACACACACACACACACACACACACCTCTACACCGCCAGTCCGTGCACAACATGCAGTAAAGCGTCCCATCTCTAAACAAATTAACGCGCAATAACAGGCAAGAATTCAACAGTGTGCCGTTAGCTAAGAATATAATGACAGCTCACTATAGCACAAGTATGACGACTCGACCCAACCACTCACTACACTTTCTGGTATTACCGATCACCTTACTGATGGGTACAAGGGTGTATTATCCTCGGGGGGGGGGGGGGGGTACACAGAGCAACAGCTAGCTGCCCGGCGCGACCAGACACGTGTTTAACGTGTGTTTTGGGGAGGGAAGAGCACTCGCTGATCACAGAGAGCAGTTTACATCGAAGGTGTCTAATTTGAAGCCGCGAAGACCCACTCCGCGATGGTGATACGTCAGTCAAGCAAGAATCCATCATGAACTACGTGGTCAGACGAGCTCCTTACAGCGCGCGCAAAAACACACACACACACACACACACACACACACACACACACACACACACACACACCACACACACCACACACCACACACCACACACACACACACACACCACACACACACACCACACACACACACACACCACACACACACACACCACACACACACACACCACACACACACACACACACACACACACACACCACACACACACACACACACACACACACACACACACACACACACACACACCACACACACACACACCACACACACACACCACACACACACGTGGTGGCAGTGTAGGGGGGATGATACTGTGAGCTTGATGGCTGAGTGGACAACGATCGGAGTTCGTAATCCTAGGATCTAGGTATAGAACCCCGGCGATGGCGGAAACGAATAGGCAGAGTTTCTTTTGCCCTGATGCTCCTGTTTACCTATCAGTAAATAGGTACCTGGGGGTTTTACAGCTGCTACGGGCTGCATCCTGAGATTATACATATATATACATACACATACATACATATATATTATACATGTGTGTGTGTGTGTAATGTAGTACATATGACATTTTAATTTTATTAGTTCTTGAAATTGTTACATTATATAGATTATAGACCCTATAATCTTGTTAATGCCTATCAGCATTTGATCATCAACTCCGTGTTACAACATTCAAGTTAACGTTCACAATGGAGAAACATTAACATTTTGCCATGTGTTCATTAACGCAAGATGTCGCAAACAAACATTAACGACAATCTACAATCTTGCAGCCAACAGCAACAGCTTCATTAGCAGTGACAGTAATTAATGAAAAAAATAGCAGATATGCAAATTTATATTGTCGACCTTGAGTCACTGTGTTGAGTTATATATATTAAAGACAGTGTAGTGTGGGTGTTATATATCCCCAGATAATATTTTATATATTATACCGCCGACAGCCCGAAGGGGGTGAGGGGGGCTTGTGATCTAGGCATAATACCCAAGATACAGCACTTTATCATCTGACAAAGAAAGTAATAGCAATTACTGAATAGTTTTAGACGAACAAAAGCAATAACAAAAGCCATCAAAGGGCTACTCATCCGACATCAAGAACAGCAATTTACAAACAGGGAAAAATTAAATTTATTAAACTAAATATTTTTACTTTAAGCCTACAATCGCACAATTATAATCGGTGAATTTCAAGAACACTATTTGTTATCCATCTTGATACTGACTTCTTCTCCTCCTCCACCAGTGCTTAAATATTTCATAAATTAGCAAGTTTTCCTACTGAAGGTGTGTCTAGGATGACCATTGGACGTATTAACATAGACGTGTTGAGCAGCAGCGAGTGTCTCGAACCCTGGTCCAGCTTGGGTGAAGTCTTGTTGACCAAGTGGGGGCAACCTTCAGCTTAGGAAGAGATTTAATGTTCTTTCATGCCAAGTTTTTAATTATAGGGCATGTCTGCAGGCAACCAGGGCGAGGCAGCACCCACACAACAGCTGCAGGCAACCAGGGCGAGGCAGCACTCACACAACAGCTGCAGGCAACCAGGGCGAGGCAGCACCCACACAACAGCTGCAGGCAACCAGGGCGAGGCAGCACCCACACAACAGCTGCAGGCAACCAGGGCGAGGCAGCACCCACACAACAGCTGCAGGCAACCAGGGCGAGGCAGCACACACACAACAGCTGCAGGCAACCAGGGCGAGGCAGCACCCACACAACAGCTGCAGGCAACCAGGGCGAGGCAGCACCCACACAACAGCTGCAGGCAACCAGGGCGAGGCAGCACACACACAACAGCTGCAGGCAACCAGGGCGAGGCAGCACCCACACAACAGCTGCAGGCAACCAGGGCGAGGCAGCACCCACACAACAGCTGCAGGCAACCAGGGCGAGGCAGCACTCACACAACAGCTGCAGGCAACCAGGGCGAGGCAGCACCCACACAACAGCTGCAGGCAACCAGGGCGAGGCAGCACTCACACAACAGCTGCAGGCAACCAGGGCGAGGCAGCACCCACACAACAGCTGCAGGCAACCAGGGCGAGGCAGCACCCACACAACAGCTGCAGGCAACCAGGGCGAGGCAGCACACACACAACAGCTGCAGGCAACCAGGGCGAGGCAGCACCCACACAACAGCTGCAGGCAACCAGGGCGAGGCAGCACTCACAACAGCTGCAGGCAACCAGGGCGAGGCAGCACCCACACAACAGCTGCAGGCAACCAGGGCGAGGCAGCACCCACACAACAGCTGCAGGCAACCAGGGCGAGGCAGCACTCACACAACAGCTGCAGGCAACGGGAGCGAGGCAGCACTCACACAACAGCTGCAGGCAACAGACCCGGTGGGAGGAGACCGCTGCTGCAGCAGACACTGGAGTAGTAGTCACGAGAACTGATAAAATCTCATAAAAAAGGACGGAAGGCAAATAATGTAGAGCACAGCCTCCCCGGACACTGCTCACGGATAGTTTCATTCTCTCCCAATATCAGGTTAACGTTTATTATCTTTGTTCCCGAAGAGGAGCAAGGCTTGCCTTTCTAACTGCCTACTCGACTCATCCTGGGAGCGCCCCCATCCACCCACTTGACCCATACTCGGGGGGACAGGGGGAAGAAGCCGCGCCATAACGTGACCCATAACCTAACACTGTGCCTGCTTCCAGCAAGCCCTCCCCCGCCACGCAGACCAGCAGCAATACTCACCAAAGGCGCCACCGTCCGTGGAGGCGGGAGACGCACCTGGCGGGGGGCGCACGGACTCCACACACCACCGCTCCTCCACCACCCTGCAAGGCACAATATTTCTTCATAGTGGTTGGGCATGACTTGGATCCTTTCCATGTGAAGGGTGGATTAAATATTCACAATTTTATCATTTTTCACAGGAATTAAGTGACATTTTTCACAGGATTGAAGTGACATTAATAACAGGATTCATTACACAGAAATCACGATAACATTATATATCAAATGAACAAACTGAGTGTTCCCAGACGCGCCTTAGTCAACTGTACCACGACATGGTCAGAAGAATTGCAACCTAGAGTGCTACTGAACATACGAGGGTTATCCTTGGGAGTTCACTATTATCGCTGCAGACATATTGACTAATCATTAATGACATGTGAAATCGCCACAGGTCTCCACGAATCAGTCTGGACAGCCGAACGTCGCTAGTTGGCTCAACTGCCTTCAGGCCAAGTAAAGAAGCAAACTGGGCCCAACAATAAGGTCACGTGGACACTGATATGACACGGTCTACGACACGGACGTGACACGGTCTACGACACGGACGTGACACGGTCTACGACACGGACGTGACACGGTCTACGACACGGACGTGACACGGTCTACGACACGGACGTGACACGGATGTGACACGGACGTGACACGGTCTACGACACGGACGTGACACGGTCTACGACACGGACGTGACACGGTCTACGACACGGACGTGACACGGATGTGACACGGACGTGACACGGTCTACGACACGGACGTGACACTGATGTGACACGGTCTACGACACGGACGTGACACGGTCTACGACACGGACGTGACACGGATGTGACACGGACGTGACACGGTCTACGACACGGACGTGACACGGATGTGACACGGACGTGACACGGACGTGACACGGTCTACGACACGGACGTGACACGGTCGTGACACTGTCTACGACACGGACGTGACACGGATGTGACACGGTCTACGACACGGACGTGACACGGTCTACGACACGGACGTGACACGGATGTGACACTGTCTACGACACGGACGTGACACGGATGTGACACTGTCTACGACACGGACGTGACACGGATGTGACACTGTCTACGACACGGCATTCGGTAGTCCGCAGTAACTCTCACACACCAGCCGCTACAAGCCTCGCTACAAGAGCAGGCGGCCGCCTTCAGGAGCCTTCATTCAGAGACAGCACCGCTCCTGTGCCAGGTAAGTCCACTACGGGCTCACCATAGCCCGTGCTACTTGCCCCGCTCCTGTGCCAGGTAAGTCCACTACGGGCTCACCATAGCCCGTGCTACTTGGAACTTGTTCCGAGTAGCTGAATCTATAACAACAACAACAACTTCAGGAGCACACAGTACCTAGTCCCGCCAGCAGCATCCTCGTCTCAACCAATCAGGACACCGTCCTACTATTTCTAATATCCAACTGCTGTACCCGAGTTACATTGTTGAATAAACGTCAAAAATCACCACACTCTTTGAATATTGTCATTCCAAATTCGTTTACGTAATAAGATTGCTTATTCCGACAGGCTCTTGTTTCGGGCCCGTCCTCCTCAAATCCATTACCACGAAAAACCAAACCTCCATCCAACTTAGACCACTTTGATAGTTGTCTAGATATATGTGATGGTCTGAAAGCATATTATGGTCCTAGCATTAGTCTAGATGTAAACTGGGAAGTGAACCTGTCATAATCAGATTATTTTCAAGTTATAACTTTTATTGTATTATAAATCGTTGGTTAAATATTTAACAAGTGTCCTGAAAAAGTTTTCTTTGAAGAATTTTGTTTTCTATAAACGGAATTCTCGGGTACACCGAAATAGTTTTCAAATTCCATATTTCACGTTATCGTCATTAACGCAGTATTAACGTAATCAAATGTAATGAAACCTAACCTAATCAAACCATAACCCAAATTAACCTTAAGCTAACCAAATAGAGTATAGATAATATTACTAATTATATGTAGTCATTCTCAATTCATTCCCGTGAGTATTTCAAAGCTGAGGACAGGTTGTTTCTCAGTGCCTGTTGCAGCCGCCCCCCCCCCCAACCCAACTAACAACCGATCCACAACCAGGCAAGCCAGTGCCTAGTCCCCCAAAATTTCCCAAATATCTAACGAGTAAATAATGTCTAGAGTGTTACACAAGAGGTTACTTAATCTTGTATTAAGATTTATTTTAATTTTAACTACTGTCAGTGGTTACGTAAACAGCGACCCCGCGGATAAAGATGTTACGCTCCACAAAAATATAGCAGAAAATCAGCGAGAAGAAATCAGGGGCGTGTCCGGCCGTACACAATGGCCACCTCGATCTTTTCAAGCGTTCCTCTCACAGTCATTAAGGAGCCGTGAATGGCTCGGGCACAGTTTCACCAAGACAATACGACAAGAACGTCTGGAGGAGGGATAGAGGAGAGGTGAGGCAACCAGTGCTGGGCTCAATCTCTGTCGTCGCCAGTAAAAATGGTCGCCCACACACACTATTTCGCAACGTCCTGCACCTTTGTACCGTCTGTACACAGGTGCACACAATGTCTTGCCTGCGTATACTGCTGAGGAACCATGCTCAGTTCCACTTCTTTTATTAAACTATTAACGAAATTCTAGCTGCCGTTTTTTATCCCTTAAAGTAGGTTAAAATATATATTCACCGTCAATAGGTCACTGCTCCAAAAATAATGATTTTGTTTTGTTACTGGAGAGGATGACTCACGGTACTGCAAGACGTCAGTGCATCGTGAGAATGTATCAGCGTGATGGGATTAGAGAAGCCAACTGTGTTTAAGACTGATACATGACAGCTTCCTGGTGGGCAAGAACCTTCCACGCCCTACCTTGCAGTACTCTATATTACAGCCTCGTCTACCACCAACATGTTCAGTTCTGCAGTTGCCTGCGAGACATCAAATTTAACAACCAGACCAATATAGTGTGAATACATTTAGATACCGAGGAAACTGAAATTTCCCCCAAAGACTGCCATCGCATTCAGCTTGAAAAATTATGGTCAAGCAATATACATCTAGTGAAGAAGAGAACCAGATGGTCTATGAATGGGTAATCTACCACTGGAAAGTTAAAGAAGACATTACTGGCGGACGTGATTCACAACACTCGCTGAAAGGCATAAATTTTCAAAACAGACTGCAACACTGGCACAATATTTCAACCGTGTCTGGAGGGATACTGGTGCTGAGAGTGCTCCCCCTTCACCCATATATTATGCTGCTCCCTTCAAATGCCCCCACCCCACCCACCTTCCACCCCCACCATCTCAGCAGGGGAGCGTGGCGTCACACTCGGGTCCATTATTAAAGCCAACTGACCAGGTGTCACCTGTGTCCACCCAGATAAAGCGGCGGGCCAGATAAGACAGACTAAGACCCAGTTACGTGGCGGCGGCCGCGCCAGCCGATGACTTAACGTGTGTTGAAGAACAGCGACCATCACCGTTTTTTGCCACATTGACAAATTGCAAGATATTACCCAGGGAATTTGCACAGGTGATTGTGATGCGTCTTGTATGCAAATTATTGGCGATAAAGCCTGGCAAATGGCAATATGTTTGGGAGAAAGGATGTGGCAAGAAATGTTTGCTCAATGCAGACTTGTGCATCACTGGGAGTGTAGGTCGAGCTCCAGCCATTTGGCACCGCCTCTCGACATTCTACCAACTGGTGCACAGGTTCCAGAGTGATCGAGCTCTCTTATCTACATTAGAAGCTAGTATGGAATCTGCCCATCAATTCCCTTCATTTAGTTAAGAAACGTAATGCACAGATATTGAACAAATTAGTTGTGATATATGTGGTTTAGTTATTTTCCACCTGTGTACTTTATACGAGTACCGCCTGTGCTAAAGATTTAACTTTTCTGCCTTATCAATGACCCAGGGAATTTTCTATGTGGTAATCATGTCTCTTGACTTCTGTCTTCCAGTGACGCGAGACACTAGGTGTTAGCTACAAGGAAAGTCTAAAGACTTTCCTTGTAGCTAACACCTATCTCTCCCTCGAGGCGTGTCTGCTGCCATACTTCTCAACTGTTCCCAACTATGGTCTATGACAGCTTAGGACAGTTGAGAGGCGGGCCGAAAAAGCTAGAACTCAACCCTCGCAAGCACAAGGTGAATACAACTAGGTTAATACACGCCACGATAACATTAGCAGCATACTCTACAGTGGTAAAAGTCTGATTAACCTCGTTCAGGAACATTTTGATCACCTACGTGAGACCAGTCTCTGCTGCTCCATTCTGGACCACCCGTGTTATAAACACATGAAAACTAGAAAAGGATCAAATATTTGCAACGAGGCTTAACCCATTCATCGCAATTTTGGGACATTTAAGAAGAGAAAGAACTAGACCTGACGACACGAGATAAAAGGACAGAGGACACATGATAGAGACGTACATAATACTTAAAGGGATTGGCACAGTCCTAATATGTTTAAAATCAATACCAATAGAATGAAAGGGCCTGGATGGATGCTTAAGAATGAGGCGAGTCAGACGTTAGAACATGTTCTTTCTGTAGGGGGGAAAACGGAATTAACTAAATTAGCAGGCTGTAGAAGCCAACTCTTAGTCAATTTCTAAAGTAGATTTAATAAAGGAATAAGGCAGGAGTCATTGTCACAAGAGAACCAGCGGCTAGAAAGGCGGGGTCCAAGAGCTAATAGCTGGATCCTACAGGCACAAAGAGTAGAGTACACACATTAAGCCGTAGTCTTCCTTAACCTTGATAATCTCGGCCTTGGCGTCCACCAGAACAACCTTCACTCGTTATATGGTTACCCTCTAATTATGCACCATTACCGCGGTGGTGCCAAACCCTCACCGCGGTGGTGCCAAACCCTCACCGCGGTGGTGCCAAACCCTCACCGCGGTGGTGCCAAACCCTCACCGCGGTGGTACCAAACCCTCACTATTCATGGTGTACCATATACGACAACAGCTAACCCTCCTGTCATGTAGTTTCAGGAGACTATAATTAGCTGTTGTGGGCCTTCTATAA